GGTTCAAATGAGGAGTAAAGATCCTATTACCTCCATGGGAACATATCCCTCCCATGATGAGGCATAGATCACTTAATGAGGCCAGTCCTGCACTGGCTTATTTAAGCAGATGGTAGCTCTGGTCTCTCCACATACCCTGTCCATATTCCTGAGATCTACAAGCCAAAAAAGAATAATAATAAGATAAGCACTTGGCAAGGTTATATCTCTGTGATCTGCCCCGATGTAACTATGTAGATAGATTTAATTTCCTTGTCTACAAAGAACAGTGTACATTGCTCACAATGAATACCAATTATCCCAGCTCCTTCCTTTCAACATCATGGTAAAGGAGATGTCATATAGTCTGGAAAAGCAGTGCTGGCTAGTTCAGTGCAGATGCATTGGAGATAAAGAAGTAGGTACTATTTCTGTCTCCACTGCAATTGAAATGAGCTTTCAGATGGGCCTCACTCACTTAATCTGACTTCACCTGAGAGTTCTTCTGCTCTGCTATAACTGTTGTCTCATCCACTTCATCACTTTTAGTTCCCTAGTATGCCAAGGGGCTGATGTGGCTCTGTGAGAAGGAAGAGAATGCTTAGGAACAATAGTATCAACTATCAGACCACTTCCATCAACAGCATTGCTAATCAATAATACAGAAATTTCCCCAAGCATATTCAAGAAACCATTCAAATCCATCAGGTGCCTGGGTTCAAGTACTGGTCCTTTACCCCTGCAGAGGTTTATACCAGCTGCCTGGATAAAACTCTTGAGTGTGTGATCTGTCCATGATAATGAAGTAGCACAAGGCTCCTCCATCTTCAAATCACCAGTTCCACCTGAACAGAAAGTGAAATCCAACATGTGCCATGCTGTAATCACAGGGCCAGATACTTTCTAACTGATCAGTTCCCATACTAAGTTTCTAACTGATCAGTTCCCATACTGAGGTCATGGTTAATGACCTCAGGATGGTCATTGATATCACCCAAGACAAGGAACATAGGCTGGTCCAGTGAGATGCCTCTGATTAACCCAACTAGCTCAGGAAGAGAGATAGGTAGCAGGGTAGATGGTGGCTAACAATATCCCTACATATCCCAGCCACCTAAACATAACAGTATGCACTCAAAATTGGCAGAGTATAGGATGAAGCATCTTGTCAGTGAGATGGAATTCCTATAGACCATGGCCACTCTACACTCTCATTGCCCTCCAGTCCTAGCCTGCTTTAGTGTTGAGAAGCCTAACAGATAAAGCTAGGAGAGGTAAACACTTAGAAGTTACCTTCCAGAATGTGATGCTCAGACAAGTCAAACTCTCTGCATTTGAATAAAAATGTCTTCTGATCCAGAATTTAGAAGGTCCTGACCTGGGTTAAAGACACTAAGCCCAAAATGCTAATGTTTCTGGTATACAGTGGAGTGGTTTATTTTTTGAGGAACATCTTAGTATTATATGCACATGCCAAGGAAAACACTTCATTGTAAAGCAGAGAAAATAATAAAGCATGAAATTAAAAGGTATCTTTTTTTCTCCTTTGATGACTACATCTAGAAATGTTATTTTATTTCATGATGCATGCAGGATGAAATTCAGGTGCAGAAAAATGATCGTTTTAACATGTTTGAGAAAGCAGGCATCCAGTTTTTGGAAATCCAAAATGCTCAGCTGGCTGATGCTGGAATTTATACTTGCACCGTGATGAATAATGCTGGGAAGGCTTCTGTGACTGCAGAACTCATGGTTCAAGGTATGGTTAAAACAGACCAAAAGGAAAAAATGCGGACATGTCAGCTCAAAGTTTTCCAAGAGTTGGGCCAGTTGTTCTTTTATTCTCCAAAACTCTTTCCATCCTCCTGTTTTTTCAGAGTGACTTCTAAATGAAGGTCCAAACATGCAGGTCAGATTTCAGATTAAAAAAACAAACAAAAAAAAACCCTTGCATTTTATTTTATTGGAAACAGGCTATAGTGAGATCCAGGCTTTTTTCTCTTCTTCCTAGTCACGTTTAAAAAGTTGAAGACATCTTGTGAGTGAAATTGGTGGTGGTGGTAATGGTGATTATGATGACATTAGTATTATTATTGCTGCTACTGTAATTTTGCTCATACAAAGGAGTGATGGTTCTTGAAAGAGTATGATTTTCCCATTTATCCTCACCCTAACAATGTAAATTAGGTTGTACTAAGAGACTGACCCATGATTGACTCCTGGGTCTGGTACTACATAATCACTTTAACCATATGTAGGCATTCTGGTGTCCTCTGGGGATTTTGTCCTACAGCTTCCATTATCTTGAGCCATTAGCAATAATTACTTAGATTTATGGGAGATGTAGATAACATTCTCTGAAATATACCATGTCTCCTATGTTAGCTGTTACTGTTATGCCGATCTTCTTCACTTTAGTTCCTGGCTGGAAATCTGGCAATCTGGTCATCTGGAAAATGTAGCTTGTGAAAGACTTCATTACACCATCACAGTTCCACTTGTTTGTTTCATGTCTATAGGGAAAAAAAATACAAAAGGAGGCTGGTACTGTGCACACTGATTCTTCCTGCTACTTTTTCTTCTCTTTGTGCAAGTATTTGGATCCAAATATTCTCAAACCAGCTCCAATACACTATTTATTCACTATACATCCTGACAGTAATGTTTGTATGGCTTTCTACTTTATAGGGTCTTGAAATCTCAGACCCAAAGCTGTCTGTACAAAGGGATATTATATATTTAACATACTTGGTTGAATTAACTCACAGCTTCAAGTTCTCATTTGAAGCTACTTTCTTACCCTGCATGTTATGATAATAAAATAAATTGTTCCACAACCAGGATTATTGTTAGTTTAAGTAAAACCATGTAGAACTCTAGATAAGTGGTTTCTAAGTTTGACCCCCCCATGCAGATGCTTCCCATAAGTTGATAAGCTTATTTAATGCAGCTTCATCTATAGAGATTACAGAGTTGAAAGCTTTCTTCTCAATCTGATCTGCATCTTTCAGCTATGATCTAGCACCCCTCCCCGCAAATATAATTATTTCCAAAAATTTGCTAGGCTAGAATGCTTTTAAAGTCTCTGTGGACTGAGGAGTTCTTTTCTCCTTAGGTAAGATTTTTATTTATTCTGTTCAACATTTGAGAAGCTTGAAGACTGATTTTTTTCTCTACTACACAATTAGTCAGCATGGGATGGCAAAATGCAAAGGAGAACTGCCGCACCTCTGAAAGTTGTATAGGAGATTCCTGCAGTAGTATTTTCTGTGTGGTGACTGAACTTGAAGGAAGCCTGCCCTGCTGTCTTCTGTTGACCAGCCTCATTATAAAGTTATTGTTCCCAACCCACAATGATTACATTATGCTAAACTATAATTTGGTCTAATAGTGAACAAGCAGTGTGGAAGCACACTGTGCTAAAATAAAACCTACTGGCTTCTTAGGTGGCCATATGCAGTAAAGAACATTGGATTGCTCTGACCACTTTTGTTAAGCTTGCCATGTGAATCAAAGACATTGGCTTGTTTTCATGGGATGCTAAGCAAACTGTCTATAATTTGTTAGCTGCATCCCCTTGAACCAGTGGCATGAGAGGAGAATTGAATGCTAGTATGCCACTGCTTGTTCACTGCTGAACCAAATTCTGTGCAGAGTCTCAATGTACTCTGTAGAGTAGCTTTCCCTAGTATACATTCTCTTTTACAGACATTGATTGGGCATTGATTATTAAAATTGGAACAGGAAGAAGCAGAAGCCAAAGGGGAAGGTTAGGCCAAGTCTGTGCTAGGAATAAAAGCACCAGAACATTTGTTTTGTAATCATAAAAGGGTTGAGTCATGATCTCATGTGAGTCAGTGAGCTTTTCAAATCTGATCAAAACTAAGAAGGCAATTCTTAGCCAAAGGAGATTAAGGATGAAAGGCAGCAGCCAAGCGAGTGCATTGCAGAAGGCCAAAGCACATCATGTAAAAGAACATATATCTGCAGAGACACTTGATTTCCTTCTCCTGTTAGCTATATGCCAACTATTTAATTAGGGACTAGTGTTGTTTCCAACAAATTCCTGCCATTTTTATCTCAACAACAGTTTCAAGAATATTTCATTCTGTTCCTGATCTCATTCATCTGCCTTACCAGTCATCTTTCCATTCTTCTGCGCACCTGACCCTTGCCAAGCATACTTGTTTTTCCTAGCCTTGACGTGCTCACATCAAATGCCCAGTCACATGAGTTTCTGCTTTCTGATCATGTCCTCAAGGATGCCATCGGTCTTTATTTCACTCAGGACCAAATGATGGGTTTTTCCTGAAGTCCATGGTATCATCTCCACATCCATAGTTCAAAGTAATCTGTATTCTTTCTTTCCTTATTTCACATCGTCCATCTTTTCCAGCTCCACATTATGGGAGGGAGGGAGGGAGGGAGGGATGGATAGAGAGATAGATAGAGAGATAGATAGATAGATAGATAGATAGATAGATAGATAGATAGAAATACCCTTATCTTTCATGTTTTTTTTCTTGTCATTGTCTTCTTCTCTAAGATTAATCTCCTGTTTAAAAAAGGAAGTCAAGAAAAGAGAACTATTTCTTCAGCTGGTACAAAATGCAGTGGTGTGGGCAGTCACGTGTGCCCCTAAAACAGCACACATTACATCTCTGCTCTGTGGCCTGCATTAGTTGCCAGTTTGCTTCCAGGCCCAATTCAAGGTGCTATTTTTCACATTTAAAGCCCTTCATGGCATGGGGCTGGGTTATTTGAGGGACTGCCTCTTCCCAATTATCTCTGCCCATCCCTTCAGGTCCGCCAGAAGGGGTATGTTGCAGGTCCAGTCTGCTAAGGAATTCCATCTGGCAGGACCCAGAAGACATGCCTTTTCTGCCATGGCGCCCACCCTGTGAAGCATCATTCCCCTGAGGCGAGATTGGCCCCAACTCTGCCAATCTTCTAGAAGTCCCTCAAAACTTGGCTATGTCAGCAGGGTTGGGGATCTCAGGGAAATGGAGAACTGGTGAGATGGCTACCCTGTATGTCACATCAAAGATGCTCTCTCCTAGTCTTTTTAAATAATATTTAATGTTTTTACTATGTAATAATTTTTAATATTTGTTTCTTTTATGGTCTGTTTTTTATACCATGCTGCCCAGAGTCACGTTTATATAAATGTGGTGAATAAATAAATTAAATAAATTAAATTTACTGCCTTTATTACTTCAACTGTGAATTCACCAGGCATACTAGGTGACCATACCTTCTAACCTTCATTTAATGCTAACCCTCATCTGGAAGGTTCCAGGTTGGAAAGACCATTTTGGCCTAGTCTTCCATTTTAAAAGACTATATTTGTTTTCACAATATTGAACTGAAACTGATCATCCCTATCTGAAGATTTATCTCCTTTGCAAATTTTTGCAAATAGCTACCTCCCAGTAGGTGTGCAGAAGTAGAAATGGAGATATAAGCAAATAGAATATTCTTTGGAATGTATACAGGTTCTTTTTCATAAAACTATGCAGGTTAAATGTTTAAGAACGCAGTAATTATCTCTGATATTGTAACTGATGGTTGCTTTGGGGGCCTTCATTGTGAATAGAAATGGGAAGCAAAAACAAGCATCAAAATGGGAAATGTTTCAGGATACCAGTGAGCACTACTGGCTGAAGTTATATTTTAAATATGTATTTCCTTGTTTATATACATATACTGATATCTTTTAGATTTTTTTCCATAAATAAGCTTGAAGATTAAAATAATCTGCAAAATTATTGTGCTTTTTAAAATATATGAGGAAGCCAATGTACTCAGGAAAAGCTTTCCAGGATATTTTTTTTTTTTTACGTTTCCAGAGGTCATTTAGGAGTTCTTTGAGACAAAACTTTATCAAGGATAGGCAATGCAAAGCTCTCCGGATTTTACTGAATTTCAGCTGATGGAAGTTGGAATCCAACAATATTTGAAAGGCCACAGGTTCCTCAGAGTAGAAGCCCCATGGTCTAGTTGACATCATAAAAAAAACCCTGTCTCATCAAAAGGGTCTGATTTAAATAGAAACATCATTTAGTCAGTTCAATTCAATTCATGTGACCACCCACTCAACATACAACTCTGGATGGTGAACAACAATTAAAATTAAGAATAAAAACATCAACGAAAGTTCCTAAAATACAACATGCCAGAGGCAACACACATACCGATATCCACAACCACCTGAAAAACAAGGTCACTGAATAGCCTGGCCCAATGCCTGAGAAAAATTCAAGTTTTTAATGTTTTATAGAAATCCATCAGGGTCAGGACCATCTGAATCTCAGGCAGGAGCAGAAACAGAGAAGGCAGGCTTCCTAGGTCCCATCAGATGTAATTGTTTAGTCAAGAAGGCCCAGAATATATCAACCCTGTGAGATCTTGAGGGACAGACAGAAAAATAATTGGAGACAGATGGTTCCACAAATCACTTGGCCCTGTGCTATGAAGACCTTCATCAGTAACAACCAGCACCTTGAATTGCATCTGGCAATTTATTGGGAATCAGTGTAGCTCGCACAGTAGTGGTGTTAACTTGAGCATTTGTGTAAAACTACTTTAAGTCATGAGAAGTAGGGTGGTATAAATATGTGTAAATAAATAAATAAATAATAAAGTCCAAAATGGTAATTTAAAGCCTGGGGAGCTACAGATGAGGTAAATGGTCTTTTAGGAAACCAAGTTCTGGACTAATTAGGATTTTAAGAGTCAGTTTAGCCGCTCAGACTTAGCTTTTTTAATGTGGCATTTATTTTCTGGAGCCTTCTTCCTCTTTTCTTTTGTGATCATCTTACCAATTAGACGGGGCAGGCAAATGCTTTTGTGGCTGGAAATCTGCTATAAATTGCAATGATACAAAAATGATTGTGTATATATGATGTTGGCATCATGCAAATGCTGTTATTTTGTACTTGTGTTAAAATCATTCCATTTGCATAATGGCATTGTCACACAAGTGCTGTCATTTGATCCCTTTTCTTCTTCCCTGTAGATACCTATGTTCAGGGGCAAATTAACATAAGGCCAAATATCAGGAAGTACAATTCTATCTTAAAGCAAACTGCAGTTTGTACCTCAGCTTGAAATGTTAGTATTTTTTTTTAATCTTTCAGGTCCTGTAAAAAGGGATGTATATTCTCAATCTCTTTGGTATGTATTTTCCATTTCTTTCTCTTTTGTTTTTTACCTTTTAAAAAGAATATTTATATTTCAAATTTAGATACCGCCCATCTCACAAAAAGTGACTCTGGGTGGTTCAC